TTAGAACTTATTTTTTTTTTAGGAAAAACTACTAATGGTTTTTAAATTTTATTTATATGTTTCGAATTATTTTTAAAAGAGTGACCATGTTATCATCTTTTGAATATTATTCAACGAATTTAAAATTTTATTAAATTGAGTACAATCAAAATTTTTATGATCTTAGCATGTTACAAGCTCAATATTTAAAATTACCAAAACCTTCTTGAAGAGTCTTATACGTTCTGTCTATTTTCATAATATTTATTAATAGCCTTCTGCGAAATCGTACCACATACTTTTCGTCAGGAACTAAGAAAGCATTAATGGCGGGGCTGTAGTAGTCCAAAAAACTTGTGCAGATTATGAGTGAGAACGATTTAAGAAGATTACAGGGCTGAGTAAGAATCAGGTGAGAATTCTTACTTGTCAGGGCACCTCAATAAGCTGAGTCTGAAAAGGGAAAACACTTCCGATTTCTGAAGGTTATGAGGGAAAAATGAGTACACCTTCTGAGAGAGTTCTCTTCTCGCTCGTAGGAGAAGAGAAATACTGCGGGGCTTTGCTGTCATGAAAGCGGAGTTACGGTCTCACGAAAGCGCTGTAGGGTATGCTCCTCAATTAAAGTAGGGGAGAGGGCATAAATCCTTATACACGGTCGCGGTGCACTGTTGCCTCGGGTACACGGATTTATAAATCATGAACAGAGTGTGTTTGAAAATATTTTGTCCTTGAATGCAAATTATTACTTGGTTTTGGTCACCATTTCCGAAATAAACATTCCTCCTTTTTTTTGTAACCGTAATGGTCTATTTAACCTCCACCTATTTTTATTTAGTTTTAAATTAGATAATAACAACAAAAGGAGGAAGCAAATCCTAAATAGCACCTAATGAACTAAATATATGTAATTCGTTTTTCTTTTTTGGTCGGTAAATTGCTACGTTATGTAATTGGATTTATGTTGATTCCTTATTTTTCTTTATTTTTTGTTTCTTTGCTTCTTTAAATTGTAAACGTATTAAGAGATCCTATTATTTATGTATCTATACTTTGTGATCTACCCTCTATGCATAGGCAGAGGCGGATATTTCTATATTTAAAAAAAATCTAAAATTTGTAATGTGATTTGTTGCGGGTGTTTTTTTGGAAGGAATTATAGTATGAACTTACAATATTGTGCAATTTCAAGTATCTACATCCATAAAGACCCTAAATGGTTGTTTAATGTTATTATTGCATACTTCGATTTTGTTAAATAAAATGCAATAGAATTATAAGGATTTTCTGGAGTTTCACCTTCAATTACCTTTAATTTTCCGTTTTTTTGTATAATTGTTTTGAATTGAATTAAAATTGAAGAAATAATCAAATGAAAATGAAAGTGTTTTAGAATTTTGTTGCTTGTTAAGTATATAATTACGTGTGATGTAAATGTAGAAATACTATAGTTAAGAAAATCGATTTCAGTTATAAACTAGATGGGATTTACTATTCGTTTTATAAATGATTTTTGTGGTCAGTTCAAAACCAACCTCCGCAACCTCCATAGAGTGTTGCGTTTCGCTGTCTTGTGAACTCACAAGTTTTTATTAAAATATTTTGAGCATGTTTAATTCCAATTTTTAACATCCAGGAAGACAGATTTCCAATATTTCAATATCCCAGCGTTCCAGGGAGATCTATTTCCAATTTTTGATCATTTTCCGAATAAGTAGGGTTCCAGACAGGCGAATTTTCAGTATTTGACCATTTTCCGAAAAGAAGCCTCTCCGAACAGGCAATCCTTTCTTCAGAATATGTTTTCTCTTATTTCTTGAATATTATGCTTTTATTGCCGTTAATACTTAAGAATGCTTCTATAAAATGAAATTGACTCGAAACACTGTATTTTGTGTATATTGTTATGTATATCATAAACAATATTCTTGACAATACACAACATAATTGGAAAATTATCTTTAAAATACCCAATATTTTTACATACCTATAAAAGATTTTATTGTAAAGCTAAAAATAATATATTCGAGTACAATGTTGTCATTGCTTTGATATTTGAATAATATTATAGGAATTCATTTGAATTTTACCTTATGAACATTTTAATTAAATTTTCGAAAACATGAAGAAATAAATAAAAATTTCGAATATTTTAAACTATTATTAACTGCCATCGGAAACACAAAAATTTTCCCTAAAAAAAATTTCAAAGTTTTTTCCTATTAAATCCTAGATATCATTAAATTTACATTTCTAATTGGTTCAATTAGAAGCAGAAATTCAAAATTTTGTTTTTCCTTCTCAAGTTTATCTCCTACACAAATGTTTTTTTTTTATTAAATGAAATACAATTTATTTTATTTATATGTATATTCTTAGAATATCATAAGAATAAACAAAAAACTAAACAGACAAAAATCGGAAAATAAATTTTTATCGTTTCTTTTAACTGACTGCATTCCATACAACAAGAAGGGCATTGTAATCGCATCAAATTCCACTTGTGAAATTAACAACCGAAATGTATATGAAATGAGGTGAGAAAGCAGAGGAGATTTCAAAGAAGAATTTGGTCTGCCGACCCATCGGTTTCTGCACTATGTCTGGAATATCTACAACATCTTCGGTTTAAAAGGCATGAAATTCGTGAAAATTTGTATCTTGACTTTAGTTTTTGAGCTTGAATAATTGAAAACACTTGTATTTGTACAAATTACTGCCACTGATCTTTTATTATAAAAGCAATATCAAACTTTGAATATATATCAGATTATCTAACAATAGAATTTAAGTTTACCTACCAATTTAAGGCTTTCGTGAAGACCAAGGACTAATAAGTGGAAGTAGTTTTCTTGAAAATCCAACTCCTTAAAAAAAGTAATGGCAATAAATTATTTGATGGGGAGATCTTTTTTTTTCTATCAAACAACTGCTGTGTCTTCTAGGCGGAGGTAGTCGCTATATTGTTTAAAATGGCTGGCGGGCAATGTGATAACATGTAGGTGTATCAGCATTGCTACTGACAGTCGTGCAGCGATAAGAATGTTGGAGGGGGAGACGTCTGCTTCAACAAAAGTCCGCGATAGCAGGTTGTTTCTCAACAAGATGGTGCAATCTTTCGAAATTTACCTGATTTAGGTTACAAGGAAACTACAGAGGGGGTAAGCTCGTCAGGGATTGAGTGAGTCTTGGTTCTAACAAAATGAGAGGATGTGCAAACTGTTGTTTAATTGGGTTGTCTGACTGATGAACACGTCAGGAGGGTTGGACGTCCCGCTAACCATTTCTAACGTTAGGTATTCTAACGAGGAAGAGGAGTAGGAGAAAACGGCAGCTTCTCCTATGCTTATACCAGGCTTTGGTTCTGGGACGGCAGAGGCTCCTTGGGTCGCATTCTTTATAGCGAATGTAAGTTACGGTGGGGATATGGCGATCTGGTGATATAACAACAGGGCTACTTGGTCTAAGTCTATTTCGCGTCAGCCTAACCTATTCTAATCTAATGCGGTCGGTTACGTGTTGAACACATCTAATTTTTTTCTCTTGCATTTCTTTAATAATGGCAACAACAAAACATATTCTTGGTATTTTGCATTTGAATGAATAAACTTGAAAATTTTATTTTATAGTTAAATTTTTTTTCTGTTCTCTCTTTTCTCAAAATATCAAAAGGATTCGTAAAAAATTCATAACAATTAGAACAACAATAATAAAATCATTTAAAATTTGTTACTAAAATCCACGATTCTTTGAAAAACAAAACAATAAAAAAAAACGAATTTTCTTTTCTCATTTTAACAATGAATTTCATTAAAATTCAATAGCAAACATTATTTTTTCTTTTTTTTCTTAATTTTCTTCACCATAAGGATTCTCTTAAAAATTATTTCCTCCATTTTATTCATATTTATTAAATATTTCATTCATTTTATTAAAAAAACAAATGGAAAATGGAAAAAAATCACATGATACTTTTATTTTTTTCAAAAAGGACTCGAATAAATGATTTTTTTTTTTTCAAATTTAATGCATTCATCAAGAATACAAATAATTTTTCGTTCTGCCTTAGTTTTTCAAAATGTATACGGCATTATCATTTCTCATTTCATATACATTACGTTTGTTGTTGTTGTTGTTTTTTAAAGGGTGTACAGGGATACTTGAAAATAAAAGTCATGAAATATTCATATGAAAGTTTTTTTTCTGTTTTTGTTTACTTAATAGGATGTCATCAAAAAAGGACTCGTTATATATATTTTTTTTAAATATTTTAATAATATTTGTTTGCTTCCCATTTTAACTTTTTTGAAGAGGCATCAATGTAATGGAACCGTTTTTTGAACATTTATTTTTATTATTTTATTTTTCCTTTCAATTATGAATTACTGGTCAAGTCTATGATCTTTGGAGGATTTACTGGTTAAATTATATATACCTAAGATTAGGTAAAGTAAATGAATTATTGGACTGATTTATTGGCACGGATTGATTCATTTTTGTTACATGAATAGAATAATGCGTCACTGATTCAGAAGCAATTGAATGAAGATGAAGTATAACAGATGGTATTGATTATAGAACCAGTTCGCCCTGGAAAAGGGTTGCAGAGGTAATCGCTACGTGGTACCGATTGTATCACATGGAAGCATTTCAATGCGATAGTTAATATTATTATGTGGTCTAGCCAACTGCCTGCATACTGCATACATAAATTCAAAAATTATTTACAAGACAGCGCGAAGCCAAAGCAATTTCCCACGCATTACTGCCGAAAAGAGTTTTCGTGCAATTTTGAAAATGACACCTTTATCGATTACAACCAGGATTTAACCTAGTTTAATTCAGTGTCAGTAAGGTAATACGATTAAGTGTATTTTAGACCTGTTTTAAACCTTCCAAACCAGCATATTAGTAGTTTACAAACGGAAACAACGATACGAATATGTGGTAATAGATGAAGATATAAAGAGTTAAGTATGATCACTCTTTTTTTATGAAAAAACAAAATTTATTTTACTGCATTTAGTTTTAATGAATTTCTTAAAAGTCATAAATTAAATTAAAAACTGATCAACTGTGTGATATAATTAGCAATATCCACTGATGTAATATTATAACAGCAACTTTTAATGAATGTATATAAGAGATGTAAAGTTTATTAATGAGCTGCTGCAGTAGTGGTGGTAGTTCTTCTACGATGCTTTTCTTCTGAAGAATCTGCAAAGGAAATTTTAATGTTAATATAATTTCTAATCTAGAATAATATCAGCAACACAGGAAGTGGAAAAGAAGTGGTGGATAAAAAATGGAGGTAAGGTATGGAAATGGGAAAGTTGTTTCCATTTAGTGTTTCAAGTTTAAGAACCTTTCTTATTAATATTACCTTTCTTCCTGTTATTCTGGGCTGCTGCGGTGCTCTGAAATTAATATGAAGTGTTCAATTAATATCAAGATTAGTTTTTATTTTGAAAATTTTACCACATCTACTAGGGCACCTAGCATGGCTAAAATAACGACAAACCAGAATAAAAATTTCATTTTGAGTAAAAATTAAACCCTTAAAAAAATTTTAAATTTAATGTGATATTGAAATTAATATTGAAAATTAATTTTGTACTAATAAAATATTTTCATTATTCATTGTATTTATACTATAGTGCAGACTATAACTAAAAGACTAGCGGAAATCATTAATATTTTAATCATATTCTTTTTGACACAAAAAGTATTGCCTATTTAAATAGTTGTAATTGCTAAATTAATGTGCTATATTAAAAAAAGCTATGTAAAAATCATAAAATTTTTAAAACATGTTCAGATTTAGTATTTCATTTGTAATGTTAAAAGAATAGACGGTTTGTTATCTGGGGCACATCGTCTCCCTATGTATAGGAAATGAAAATTTTTTGTTGAGAGCTTTTGATCTAATGTATTGGATTATTTTTATGGTCAATGTGATCTTCTCTTAATCGAAATCACTTAATAGAAATCATTAATTTTTTAAATAAATTGTTACCTGAGACTTCCAATGTTTAGAGATTTTTTTTTTTAGAAAAGTTCCTATAGTTTATGTGTGGTCATAAAAATGCCACAAATTAGCAAATTTATTAAATAATTAGTTGAATTAAGGAAAAAATTTGAAATATACTCAATTATTTCTCAATGTTGTATGTGTACATAAAAAATTCTGTGTTCAGCACATTAAAATTGATGACTAAGTCAATAACACTTTATGTTTTTATTTGTGTAGATTTGCTCGAATGTAGAGCAAATGATTTTAATATCTTGGATAATTTTGGTTTCCAACATTATCATCGAATTTGGGGTTATTACATTTCACGTATTGAAGCTTTAAACAATTGAGAAATAACGCATAATGATAAAATGTTATATGTGTACAATGAAAAACTATAAAACAAGAATTTGTTAAAATAAAGAAAAGGGTTATACTTAACTATAGGTAAATAGAAGCTTTTTCATCTTGTCTTTCTTCATGTAAAAATCTAGTTTGTGTTTGTGTTTGTTGCATAAACGCAGCATTCTGCTGACAGGTTTATGTTTCCCATAATTGGTCCTATGAAAAGGAACCATGAAAAGATCAAGGGAACGAGACCTAAAGTTGGAGTTAACCACTATTTTATTTAAAATGTGGCGAGAGATTAAGTCAGTTTTCATAAGCTGAAAAACGAATAACAAATCCGCGACGTCACGTCTTTAAGTGTGGGTAGGTTAATTAATTTGAGCCTGTGCTCGTAAGGTGAAAGAATGATGGGGTTTTCCGAAGGAAGAAGGCGCAGTGCGAACCTTAAAAAATTTTTTTGAATAGACTCAATCCTTTTAATATGTGTATCGTAATAGGTCTTGAATATGCTTCACTATACTTGTATTCAAGATGAGGACGGACCAGGCATGTGTAGAGCGATTTTAAGGTATGCATATGATATGATTGTAGTGGTTTATGAATGATAACTTGCTATCGAAGCAAACACCCAGGTCCATTATTGAATCAACTCGACTAAAAGCTTAGCCATTCAAAGTATAGTTTGTAAAAAATGGCCGTTTTTGCCTAGAGAAGCACATTTGTGCACATTTACTTACTTTGATTTTTAGGTTATTACTTGTGCACCACCCGTAGAAGCGCTTAACATCATTCTGAAGACACATCGCATCATTTGCAGAGCTTATTTTTTTTGAAAGTTTTCATGTTATCAGCATATATTTTTACCTCACTGTGCGTTAGCATGGAAGCAATATTATTAATTGAAATTATGAACAGCAGTGGACTTAATTGACTAATCTGGGGTACACCAGAATTAGACGAAAGAGGCGAGGAAATTGCTGAACGAAAGAGCCTTTACGGCGGCATATAGACGAGGAAATCGCTAAACAAAGAGAGCCATTTAGACCTATAGCATTAATATCTTGTAGTAAATATTAAATTTAACTATTTTCTTATAAAAAGTAGGTACCCATACAAATTCTATATTGTGAGTTATTTTCGCTTGTTGGTACCTTGAAAACCATTTCCCAATTATATTTTGGAATTATTTTAATATATTAAATATTTGATGTTACACAATTATCAAAATTATTTACTTGTTTCTATATTCATGTAAATTTTTTTATGATAGTCCATTAATATGAAACAAGAACACGACTGATCACAACATGTGCATGTTAACAAGTTTTTTGACCACTAGTAAAGAAATTTTTAATGTTTTTAGGAAAATTTGGCAAATTTTTCAATAATTTTTTGGAAAATTTTGACAATATAAATTGGAGTATTTTATGAGGGTTATAATTCAGATCTAGAATCAATATTCAATTGTAAATATTAAAAATAAAAATATGAAATTATATTTATTAGTTTTGATTGTCGCGGCCATATTTGGCGTTTTGGTATTATTTAATAAATTTTGCGTTTTTTTTTAAATTTTATATCAATCAAATTTTAGTATGCCCAAACGACAACAGTAAAACCCCCATGTACCGGTGGCAATAGAGGTCCAGGAGGTCAAAGAGGTCCAGGAGGTCCAAGAGGTCCGGGAGGTCCAGGTGGTCCAGGAGGTCCACGTAGGCCACCACCAACTGGTAAGAATTTCTTGATTCAACAATAAAAAAAAAAAATCTGATGTGGCCAGCGCATAATCGACCACAATTATGTAGAGCTCTAGTTAACATAGCTAGAAAAACGCAATATCGGATATCTTGAAAAGTTTGTCAGTTATTTCAGGAAATTTCGTCAATTAGTTCTTTAGATATGATCACAAATAAAAAATCGGCCGGTAAAAAGGTCCAGTTTCTAAAGCTTTACATATCCGAAAAGATGATTAATTCGTGACATAGCTAAAATAAAATCGGATATAAATTTTCATCGAAATCGATTCGGCTAAGGTTGAGATATACACATTGCTTGACAAATCAACATCTCTCTATAAATATTTAATTTACGCTTCCTTGCCATGGAAAAGTGCGTTTCCACCGAAAAGTCGATATGAGAAATTTGATATTATCATATAACCTTGCTTATATGATATGCGATCTGCAATAAAATCACAAAATTCGGATAATAATTCAATTAGAACCCTGCTTTCTAAAATTTATGATACTGCTATGTATATTATCATTTAATTTACTTTTTAGACGCATCTGGAAGGCCTATTCCACCACCACCAGGAAGACCACCAGTTCCACCACCATCCGGTTAATTATAAGAGTTACCCGATTTAACAATTGTACTAAAACATGGAATTTGAAAATATTTGACATGCATTTTTATTGTTATAAAAATAAACTGGAACTGGAATAGTAAAAATATTAAAATATAATAAAAAAAACTGGTTTTATATCTCTCTTACTAGATCAGACCCGGAACTAAGGTTGGCGTCTATATCAGTTATATAAGTGGATATATGAACACTAATGCCACTTTTAGGAAAAAAATAAATTAATATTTTTAGGTTCTTTTATATAGTGCCTACTATGGAGTAAAATAACAATGAGAGAACAAATCCCATTTTGTAAAATATTGTGGCAGTCTCTCATTCTAAATAAAATTCTTTTCAATTCTCAGTAATTTGGCTGTATGAAATACTAAACGAGATTATCGTAATGTCGCATACATTACAGTATTTACTAGTAGTTGGTAATATTAAAATTATTATTAGCGACTTCGTAAAACGATAGTAAGGTAGTAGAAGTTTTGACATTACAATTCTATGATATTATGCAGTTATGACACTATACAGTTTTTAGTGCCTTTTAGGTATACTAAAAATTATCAGTTACGCAATGTTGCATGCGACAAATTTAGAAGGGTATTTCATTTAAATAGTTAAACAATTTAATTGAAATAGTATGAAGACCAGCAAGATGACCCTAAATGTAGAACTCTTCGAAGTACATGAAATCGCATTAAAATTGACGTTATAAGAGCGAGTATAAATTGAGATGTAAGTTTATAACTTTTTTGTCTTTTGAGCAGCTGTTCTTGAAGAGTGAGATTGAAAAAATTACTCACGTAACAAAATAACAAACGTTATTTTATTATGTGAGTGTAAGTAATTTCCTAGAGTTTATCAAAACTTAATTTGAAACGGAAATATGCAGGCAGAACAAGCTAGTATGTAAAGAAAATAAGGTAACGGATCATTTTGCTATAATATTTTTCAGTTTTTAAAATTAAAATTACAGAACACAAAAAATCAATTTTAATTTTTGTACATTTTTTATTTCCCGATTCCTGTTTATTTTTATAAAATTAAAAATCAATAAATTCAAGGCTGACTATTTGACTATATTTTAGAAGTTGCATATATCGCATAATTTCAATTCCATATTATAGGTTTATAAAATGCATTTAATGTTGCATAATTAACCAGATGCAGCTGTTGTTGGTGGTCTACCAGATGGTGGAATTGGTCTTCCAGACGAATCTAAAAAATTTGGTTTTTTTTTGTTAAACTTTTACAAATTATATCATAATAATTCCTACCAGTTGGTGGAGGTCTTCCACCTGGTGGACCTCCTGGTCCACCTGGACGTCCAGGTCCTCCTCTACCACCAGGTCCACCTGCACCACCACCAGTACATGGAGGTTTTACTGTTGTCGTCGTCTGGGCGTACTAGAAATTCAAAGAAAATTGTTTGCTTTAAAATTTTTATAAAAGTACAGTTTTTGATACTTACCAAAGCGCCAAATAGGGCGACAACAATCAAAACTAATAAATATAATTTCATACTATTTTATTTTTCAGTATTCACAATTGAAATTTTATGCCAGTTCTGAACTGTAAACCTCCAATTTATATTAGAGAAATTCTTCGAAATATTTAGAACTTGTGCTAAAATTTTTATCAAAACATTCTTATTTATTTGTTTATCGTGAGATAATTTGTCATGTGAGTGTTGAGATTAGCTTTTGATTATAAAAATATTCGTTTAAATTGAATTATCATAAAAAAAATAAAAGCAATGAATGGGATGAAATCATTTATTTTAACAGCTTAATTAAAATTAAAGTAATAAAAATGTTTTAAAGTAAATAAACTAAATTCAATAGACCGCAACCGGAACTAATTTAAATTTTAATGTTTTATATAACAAAAAAAAAATTGCAATTACTTAGAATTGCCTATTAAATGGATTAATGAGTTGGCTTTTTTTTTATTCTCCTCCAATAATGGTTGGGTGCGAAAGGTTTTATTAATTATAATAAAAATTTAAAATTTCTGTTATTAATTTCATGTGAATTATAAATGGTATTATTAAATTGATTAAACTATTTTTCATATATGTAGAATCTTGATAAATCAAAGTTGAATGCACGAATAATTTTATACCCAATTATGTACAATTTATAAGGTACCATTAATTACATAAATGAGTATACCAAGTTTTTGTCCGCGTGTGACCTTAAAGTTGAATTAAATATATGTTAAATGATTGACAGTGAGAATTAGGAAGTAATAGTGATCAGTCATAAATTTCAAATTCAGTGATATTTCTTAAAAAAAGTGATACAAAATTTCTGAAATGATTACAAACGCTGGCAGTATATAATAGAAATTTGAAGCTATAATAAAATAATTCAAGATGAAAGTAAACCTCACTCTTGTTAGCATAAAAACTGCGATGCTATTTATAGGAATCAAGCCAAAACATATTTGGCATATTGGCTGGCACATCCCCCTAAAATTATCTCATTTCTAAGAAAAACTTTTTTATCGTTTGTTAGTCTGAAAGTACAAGAATAAAGAAGATAGCGGCTACATTCAAAAAAATTTTGTTTGAAGCTCCTATCTATCTCAGATCGAAATCATTGAAAATTAGTAAAGTCTCTACCCTGTGTCTCGAAAAATATTGAGATTTTGACCCCATTCAGGAATAAAAATTTTAGCTATTTTCAATTTTCTAAATAATGGTATATATTGTTGCATACCTTTCAAATCCAACCTCTAAATTTTTTTCTAGCACAGCAAAGCAACATTTCCGAACTTCTGTTGGAAGGTAAATTTAAGTTCGAAAACACCCCATTTTAGAACTAATACAAGTGTCGACAGATAAAACATAAAAAATTACTTACAATAACAAAGAATTTTTAGCATTCTGTTCATATCAAAGTTTACATTTTCGTTATTTAACTGTAATTTAATTATTTTAATTACAGTTATTTCTGTTATCTCTTAATCAACAGTTTACAATCAATGATTTTGTACCCTACAAGTGACAATTCTAATTGTATTTTCCAATTGTTTATACAATAAAAATTTTAATTCGGAAAAAAAAACTTAATGTTCATTAAATTAGAAATTAATTTTTATAGACTGCAGTCATCATAATAATTTTGATAATTATTCAAATTTATTCTATTTACTTTTAGTATTTTAGTTATGGTTATAAAATAATGTTCAATTTTAATATTCTGTCGAATTTCGCGAATTAATTAAATTAGTATCTAAAAAATTTTTAACACTAGTGTCAATTAATATTGATGGTTTTTTAATATAATTTATTTTAAAGTGTTTTGGCCTTTTTTTTTTGGGTATAAAAATTAATGTATTTCATGTTATTGATTGTGATTATTAAAATTATTAAGTTACGTGCAAATTAAGGTAAATATAATTATCATAATCTCATTTAACATTAATATTAGTAACGCATGTTACGGTCACGTGTTGAGTGTTTTTGTTGTATTAATAACCATAGCACCTATAATAAATTTGCTAAAATTACTACAATTGTCCGTTGTAATTAACGTATAGGGGAAGGACCTTCGTTCACAGGGTTAAAAATACACTCCAGACCCTTTTAAATAAAATTAAAACTAGCACGTACGCATATTCCGAACTCGTAACTCTTTAATTGCGAAATATCTACGACTAGAATTAAATCTAACGTATTCCACGTCACGCAAATTACGACTGATAAAAAAGAAGTTTAAATAAAATTTTTGCTTCCCTCCTTTTAAATTGATTAATCTTGCTTTCTGGCGTTTACTTCCATTCAATTTAATTAAGAATACTGGCTGGGAGGCTCTTCGATTTTATAATTTAAATTAGTTGTACAATTTTAGGACGGCAGTATTTTAAGCCTTTCAGATTCAGAAAGGCGCATTTATGCGTTTCCTAATATTACCTGCCTAAGAATATAAAATAATTAAGCCAAGTTTTTTGCTTATCTAAAATTGAAGCAATTTTTAATTGGCTCAGGTTTGAAGACTATCTTTGAGTGTACATACGGCATATGGTACGCAACATAAAGCTGCAAAATTTTCGGTATTGTCGCGTCGTCATTCTGAATTTTACAAATCTAATACTATTACCAGTTTTGATTTGAATTTCGCTTTGTCAATAATAAAATTAGAAAAGATAATAGAAATTTGTTTTGCAATTCAAATTTTTTTTTGAATAGTGAAACAAACTCAAATACACAAAAGCCATGAATATGAAAAACCAGGGAAAAAGGACATCTTTTAAAATGATTCTGTTTCCATTTTGTTCTTGATATTGTTTGTTTGCTTTCATAGAATTTTAAAAATAAATAAAATTATATGGACAAAAACTTGTTTATTGCTATTCTATTAATAATCTCTAGCGCCACTCATTCTAACAAATTATTATGCTTGTATATACAATAGCGAATGAACATTTTACAATTTAATGATGATTTTTCTGTTCTATTTTAATCAACAAGTTGTTGTATACACTTAATTTTTAAAAGTGCTATTAAAAGGATAATATTATTTTTTGTTGACGTTGTAAAGAAGGAAAGAAAAGGAAACAAAATATTCTCTTAAAAAATTCATGCAATACCATTTAAAATTTAATGGCTATTTTTTTTTTCATTTATTTTTCCTTTTCTTATTTTGTTCTTTTTTGATGCTTTGCATATAGCTTCAATCAAAATTTCAATATAAATAAAGGTGCTTTTTAGTACAAAAAAGAAAATTCATTAAAAGAAAATATTATGTATTTAAAAAAATTTTCATATCCTTACAGAAATGTACGTAGCAAAATTATGATTCATGACAAGGGTCCGCGCTCCGTTTATGATTCCTATAATTGGAAAATGGAAATTGAGTACAGTATAGAAGGGAACTAAACATAATAATGGAATTGAAATATCGGAACAGTAAGAAGAATCTGGAAATTTTTTGAATAATTTTAGTGCGGCTACAGGATATGAAGTTTTTTGTAAGAAATCGCAAGGAGGTATACGGATATATGTATAACAGCGCACTGGTTGTTATTCGAAAGCAACATCACTGTAAAACTTGTACGTTTAAAGAAATAATGGCTTAATGGATTTAATATGTAAGTATCAGGCTGGATTGCAAAATACCCTACAGGTATTTTGGCTAACTGATATTTTTTTTTTATTAATAAAAAAAGCTTTTTAAGTCCAATTAAGTATTCATATTTATAATAAATAAATAAACAAATAAAAGAGAAGGAGGACAAAAAGCAAAATATATGAATATCCTTTTCGAAAACAAAGCAAGAAAAAAGGAAGGATATCTCTCTTTAAAAGTTGATTTTAAGAATTACGAGTTAATATAATCTCTTTTTTTTGTTTTTTTTTGAAATTTTAAGTGCCTATATAATATTTCTTAACATTTTATTCATAAACAAGTACAATTTATGCTAATAGGGAATGTATACATTATACATACAAAATTTGAATTTTGAAAAAAAAAAATTCTTTATATTTTTTTTCAGCACGAAAAAAAGGGACATAAGTTTAATTAAACCATTCTAAAAAAAAAGTCATGGAAACAAAAGATACGGAAATGTCCATGTTGGATATAGAGCCAGCCATACAATAAATGTGTTACAATGTGTTAGATATCGACCCAGTAATGAAAAGCTGAAGAGGAGTTGTATATGAGTGCTAAAAATAATGAATGAGTGAAATTAAAGTATATCAGAAATGTTAGAAAATTCTGACTTGATGACTTTTTCGAAACTGATATCGAGATGATGAAAACATGAGTCTGATTTGAAGTTAAAAACTGCAGTAACTTCCATTGGGATGTACATATACGTCTAGCCCCCGTTATGTTTAAAACTTTCCTATCTTAAAAAAATTTCAACACACAAATTTGCCATTATTTTAGAAAGTTCCCCTCGATTTCTTTAATAAAGGTTTCCGGCTTCTGCATCCATCAAAGATTGCATTTATTTTTCTCGAGATTAGAGCTGGTGACGATGGATTATAATCGGGCTCATGCTATTACTGGCTTCTATCTTCTATATAAACTCGGTAAATCTGACTACCTTTTACATTTTTTGTGTAACTATTCTGCTTTGGCCTCCAGAAGGCACAAATCGTTTGGATGAATTTGTCCCAGCAATGAATAGTTCACGTAAAATTCCTCGATAGTTGTCTCCAGGTATTTGCTCATAATCGAGATTGTATGGGAATATATTTGCAAACTTACGAGTAGTTAGGACATCGCATGAAAGCTCACAAAAATTTGTTTAGGATTTCACTAATTCTTCTAATCGAATTTCTTTATTCAATTTATTTCGTAACCATAATATCAAATCAATTTCAACCACTGCTTTGCATCCTCCTTTAATTCTAGATATATCTGTTTAACGTCTCACTTTTGTAATTTTTTTCAAACGTTTACTTTCTAATTATGCTTTCAAAATCTTTAAAATAAACAATTTAATGTTGAAGCTACTATTAAAAGGGCTATAGAGGGAATTTTAGGGAGAAATTAATAGCGTATGTAGGAAAGCTTGTACAAGGAAAATGGCTATTTCAAGTTTAAATACTCCATATGAAGTTCCACACTTTTAAATGACTTTATCGCAATG